TCAAGTTTTGCTTTTGTTACAATTGCCTTTGGTATCTTTGTCATGAAATCTCTGATTGTTTCTATGTCCAGGGTGGTAGTGCATGGTAGTGCCTAGGCTGTCTTTCTAGGGTTTTTACACTTTGAGGTTTTACATTCAAGTCTTTAATCCATCTTGAGTTGATTTTTGTAAATGGTATAAGGAAGTATTCCAACTTCAATCCTCTGCATATGACTAGCCAGTTATCCCCTCACCATTTATCAAATAGGTAGCTCCACTGCTTGTTTTTGTCAGCTTAGTTGAAGATCAGATGGTCATAGGTGTACGGCCTTATTTCTGGGCTCTCTATTCTGTTCCATTTGTTTATATGTCTGTTTTTTTACAAGCATCATGCTGTTTTGCTTACTGTAGCTCTGTAGTGTAGTTTCAGTTTTGGTAATGTGATGCCTTGTTTTCATTTTATTTATTCATTTATTTGTTTGTTTAGTTTAGGATTGTGCTCAATCCATTTCTTCGTGGTTGACTCAGAAAAGGAGTATCTAGCACTTCAGTGCCCATGGAGAGAGGCAGACTCTGCCTAGCAGTAAGACTCACATAAAAGATGGGAAATGTTCCAATATGAGAAGGATATTCATTTGTTAGATAAACAGACAAAAGACAAATACTCACTAAAATGTATAAAGTTAAAACTGAGAAGACAGAATAGGTGACAGTGGTTAATAATATAGATTTTGGCATTGGATTGATCTAAATTTGAATTTTGGCTCTCCTACTTTCTAAATATGTAATCTCCAACATACATTCTATACTCTCTGAGCATCTGCTAGTTTATAAGTTCCATAAAACGGTGTCTGGCTTATTCACTGTGGTATTTCAAGCAGCTAGAACGATGTCTCACAATGAGCAAAAGCTCTAAAATAGTTATTGAGTTAATGACAAGGCTAAATCCCAGTATTACACATGATGACAACAGTATGTTAAGTGTCTCCAAAACACTTAAATATTTTATTTGTTTTTATGATTATCCAACTGAAGTATTTCCCCACGACTACACTAAGCTCTATGGAGTCAGGGACAATAAGGTTTGTACAGTATATTTTCCTGTGACTGTTTAATTATTTGAGAAGATCTGTACATTTATATTATTTAGTCATTGTTGAGAAATGAGAAATATCCATTAAATAGGAACACTCAAATATAAAAGATTTTTCTTTATATTATTATTAAAAATTAATATCTCCAATAAAATATATTTTAAATTTATGTTCATAAAACTATCAATAATATACCATTTTTAAATAAATCTGTGACCATTTTTGAACTTTTTTCTAAGTACAGTAATTCCACTTACTTAATAACGTAATTTTTCTTACTAAAGAGAGTACATGTAATTAAAAACTGTGTAGATAAATACTTCTGAGACTGCCTTTCCTCAACCTTTCAGGTTTGTCCCACACTTCCTCTTTAGGCAGGTCCCATTATGCCAACTTTTTGTGTAGCTATCCATCCTGATAGACCATTAAATATGTGGCCCCCCACGAGATAATTATGTCTATACAGATGTTGCTCCAGTGCCTCCTGGAATATAATTTGTTCCCCGAGAGTAGATGAGGAACTCTTAAAATAAGGTATTATTACTGCTATTATTAGGGCTAACATTTATGGAACCCTTGTTAAATGTCAGGCTCTATGCTAAGCACTTCATGTGCAATTACTCTTATAATCCACTCTAAATCTAGATTAAATAGGGTCTATTCTTATCCCCACATTACAGAGGAAAAGTGGGTCTTAGATAGGTCAGATAGCTTGTAAGTAACAGAGCTGGGATTCAGACTGACCCCAGAACACTATGTGAAACTTCTTCCCTATGTTTTCAGATTCTGACTACAAGTTTCTCTCTCCTCTCTTTTAGCAAGGGATTTTTTTTTTTAATCTTTGCATTTGTATTTTAACTTTTATTTTTTTTCCTTTATAAAGGGAGCCTATTTCGCCTAAACAAGAACCACAATTATGTAAAGGTAAATATTGAATGATAAATTTTATGTTGCATTACTAAATGTGCTTTCAGTCCAGAGTCATGACCTTGTGACTCATGCAGCCAGACATAGCAATATGATAAAGATTTGGCTTGTTACGGTGACATAATTGTGACATCTCTGTTGCCCTAGGAATAAATTGAGATTAGAAAGCACAGAGAACAGCAATAAGGAGTTACCTCTTGAACATAATTGTTTAGATTTTGTTAGCTCTTCTCAAAAATGATATGAAGGCAAAATAATTTTCCATTGTAGAGAAAAATGGCAGGACAGTGACAAAAAATAATCTGACCTATTCATTTTTCAATTTTTCCAAAGAAATTCTAAACACCTCTAAAACACATGCATACTGGTGGTGTTAATCAACTTATACCACTGCCTGTGAGGATGATGCAGCAAATTCAACAAAAGTTGTATACATTATGGAAAAGCTTAAATTGCATGAAGAAAAGAAGCTGACAGAAGAAAGGTGGAAAATATTTTCAATATCATTTTCTTTATTGTTATTTTAAATTGACAAATTATAATCGTGTATTTTTATGGGGTACAAAATGATATGACATGTATAAGCTGTGGAATGATTAAATCAAGCTAATTAACATATCCTTTACCTCAAATACTTATCATTTTATGTGGTAAGAACAACTGAAATTTACTCTCTTAGCAATTTTGAAATACACATTATTATTAACTATAGTTAACTCATTGTTCAGTAGATCTAACAAAAACTTTGTATCCTTTGACCAACATCTTCCCATTTCCCCATCCCCAGCCTCTGGTAACCACCATTCTACTTTCTGTTTTCATGGTGAATTCCATTGTTTTAGATTCCACATAGGAGTACTTCGCTTATTTCGCTTAGCATGGTCCACCCATGTTATCGCAAAGAACAGAATTTTCTTCTTTTTTTTCAGGATGAATAATGTATATACAAAACTACTGTGTATAGACCATAATTTATTTATCCATTCATCCATTGATGGACACTGGGGTAGATTTCATATATTGGTCATTGGGATTAGTGCTTCAATAAACATAAAAATGCAGATATCTCTGACATACTAAACAGAATTGCTGTATGATACAGCAATCCCACTTCTAGTATAGATCCAAAGGAGGGATATTTTTAAAAAGAGAGAGTATTTCATCATTTCGATCTTATATGTACTTAATGAGAATGTTAGTTATCATCAGGATCTCCTATTATCAAATTGTAGTTTACAACAGAAGTCAACAAATCTTTTTTACAAAGGATGAGCTAGTAAATATTTTAGGCTTTTCAGGCTAGTTGGCTTCTGTCAAAACTGTTCTATTCTGCCATTAATAGCATTAAAACAGCCATAAGTAGTACACACAAAAAAATGAGCATGGTTGTGTTCCAATGAAACCTTAACAACAACAACAAAAAAAATAGCCTATAGGTCATGGTTTGCCAATCTGTGGTCGAGAAGAAAGATACACAGAAACACAAATCCTCCAGGTAAAAATAACACAGACTGATTAATGTCAGAGCCTTTCAAGATTATACTGGGTAACTTAGGAAAACAGTTGCCAAGAAAGTGTGTGCTAACATTCTTCATATTATTTATGGGTATAAATACTGAGGGAAAAAGGCAAAATAATGAGATCCACTTAAGAATGAGAAATATTTAACAAAGTCAAGGTGATGTTATTCTACTGCTTGTAAACCTAAGTGATTACTACAGATTCTGTGACAGCATGAACAAGAGAACATCATGAGAAAACATACCAACCTAGAAATATATAAATCAGATCTGAGACCATTTCAGAACCTCAGATGTCTGATCATGAGTAATTTCTAAGCTCTTCATTGAGATCCTTATAGGCACATTTCCCATGTCCACCCTTGCTAAACTTTGCTTCAACATTTACAGAAGATTTGAAAAGTCATGTGCAGTCATTTAGCATGTAGGCATACCTACACATATACACACATATGGGCAAAGAAAAAAAGCATGTATTATTTGAAGAACTAGCATCTCTATGGCAAAGGAGACACGCAGGATACACATTTGAGGTTCAATGAGTGGAGAGAAACAGGCTGTCTGTCTATCAAAGCATTATCCTTATTGATACTCTGGTCACAGACACTTGTGAAAGGTCTGTAGTTACTCTTTGACCAGAATTTATCTGCTGAATAATCTCAATTACTACAAAGACAAAGGAAAATATGACTAATAATCATTCTTTCTCTGGACATAGGAAAGTATATAATCTCTATCCAGTAATCCAGAGATTAAAATTGGGACGATTTTGTAATTAATTTGTTCAAAATTGTTACAAAATATATTTTCCTCATGTTTTCCCCACATGTGAACTATTTTTTCATCCATGCGATCACACAAGTTAGAAATATGAGAGCTGTTTCTTTCTCATATCCTCCTACTATCCACCTTCAAGCCCTGACAATCTTACAGATTCTATCTTCAAACCACTCCTCTGTACAACAACTGCTAAAGGCTTTCTTATCATCATCATGCGTTTTCTTTGTTTTTTTTTTGTTTTTTTTTTTCATTTTGAGACAGTCTCACACTGTCACTCAGGCTGGAGTAGAGTGGCATGATTATATCTCACTACAGCCTTGACCTCCTGGGCTCAAGTGATCCTCTAACCTCAGCCTCTTGAGTAGCTGGGACCATAGCTACTTGAATCCAAAACTGAGGTCTATTTAAAAAAATCTACCTTCTACATTCCTCTTCTGCAATGTAGGAAAAAAGGGCAGAGTAAGATACTCTATAGATAAGAGGAAAAATGAGAAGTGGACACCATTGTGCTGTTTAAGTCCCTGGCCACAGCTGTCCCTATGCCAGCTTCCATCTACCCTAACCCCTTCTGGTTTTCCATCTTGTGATATCATCCAGTGAAGTTCTTGTTTTAGCTTAGATTACTGTACTGGGATATTATTGCCACTGTGATTAAAAAATTTCAGCTAATGTAAATTCACATTTCTTTCTCTCCCTTTAGTTCTGTCACCCCTATGAAGACCTGGTTCTTAGCTGCAGCTGCAACTCTATCCCTGGACTCATCTTTGAAACTACCCAGAGGTCAGAGGCAAAGGCCCAGCATACTCTTTTTTCTTCTTTAATTTTATTTTTATCTTACCTAATGTTGACTTCTTTATTTTTCAAATCCCAACAGGTAGACAGTCAAGAGCTTTAGAACTTTACAACAGGATCTTCCTAGTGCCCTGAGACTTTGTGACAGAGCCAACAGAAATAAATCATACAGGACAAAGCCAGACCCTGGTGTGAGGGATGCTTATGAAACAACATAAACAAGAAGTTGTATGAAAAAGATTGTATGGAAGGAAGAAGAGATAATGGAAATTAACTCATAATAGCCCCAATTAAAACACTTATAGTAAAATATCATTAGTACTACTTGATTTTGGTGAAAGGCTCAAGATTCAAGTCAGAAGGCCTGTTTGCTGTGAGTTCTTGAACGAATAATGTAACTTTGTTAAAATTCAGTTTTCTTTTCTATCATTGGGTATTAATAATTTCTCTGGGATGTAAGAGTTATGATGTGAAGTTAAAATAACTAATAAATGGGTAAACCCTGAAAATGGATCGAATTTTGTAAATGTGAGAATCTTATAAATCTAGTACTTGAAACCAAAAGAATTAAGTCTCAGATTGAGGAATATAGGATACTAGGGCAGGCTAACTGGACAAAGGTCTCATATATCAGCCATCTTCAGTCACACCGAAATGGGGCTATATTTTTTTTATTTATTTACCTACCAGTACTGCCAATAGTCAAAATAGTGTTACTTTCCAAGTTATTTAACTTTTTTAGGATAACAGAGAAAAAGATCATTTCTAGTTTTCAAAGCATGTATTCAATTAGTTATATAGATTTATATCACTTGGTGAACACATGGCAATTTCCCTACTACCACTAAAAATTAAATTTTAAAATGCTGTTTGATACCTTCATTAAAAAAATTTATTGTTTGTTTGTTTGCTGATATGGCAGGGATTCAAGTCAAGATAATTAGATTTATGAAACAACATAGAAAAAGCTCCCAGTTTCAGCATTGTAACAGGTCCATTGATAAAACCTGCTCAGGCAGAGACCAAGTTGGAGAGAATAGGTTATTATTCTAGTTCTCCTGAGGTAAAGGAAATAGTCTTAAAAGCATGAATCTATCCATCCTCTTTTAAGTAGAGAGGTCATTACTCTCTTTCCTTATTAAAATGAACACAAATTGAACATGCATAGATTGATTTCCTCTATTCAGTTACTGTTTGAAACTTAGCTTGCTACACATTTTAAGAGACATTTTCTGCACATTTTAACAGACACACATTTTCTACACATTTTTACAGACATTTCTCAGTGTAGCTCTCTGACTTTATGACATCAGCAGAAGCAGTCTTCAACCTGGTAAAAATGTAAGGAAAATGTACTATCTACTTATAAACTTAACAAGAAAACCAAAGACAACTATTTTATCAATAAATTTCAAGATTTAGAGATTTCACATGATAGCCAGTAGCTCTTTGATATAAATATAAAGCTATATAATCCACAATTCCATTTATTTGCTTATTTTATGCTTTCCTGAAGTAGTTATTGAGAACCTATTGTGTGTAAAGAGCTGGAATAAACAGAATAATACAGAGTAGCAATGCATTCAAAGAATGCCAAGTACAGGCAGTGGAAAGATGCTGAATTCTTGCCTGGATTTGATTTTAATTAGTTTTATGACCTTGGTTAAGTGACTTCTCCCATGTACATCATTAAGTACTTTTTTACTGAGGGCTTCCCATTGGCAGAAACAAGATTGACAGAGGAACAAATAAACCTGCCCCCAGCCTTTGTTGAACTGATATGGTAGTGGGTAAGACAAATATTAAAGAATTAAACACATAAACAAATGTAAGTAAAGATTGTGTAAAGTGTAACTGAAAGTAAATGGTGTTAAACAGTTTTAAAACTTGAGCTTCTGATTTAATTGGCCAGTCATGGAATACTTACCTGAGGAGGCAAAATTTAGACTGATACCTGAAGAAAGAAAGATCACTGGGTGTAAATAACAAATGTGGAAGTGTAACAGATTTGAGGAACTTCAGGCCAGTCTGGTTGAAATGCAGACACCAAAGGGAAGAAGGCAGAGGATGAGACTTACTAACCAGGCACTGCCCAAATACTGCAACGTAAGAAGACATGGTAAATAGTTTTGAATATACCCTAAGTCAAATGAAAAATCACTAACGGATATTAAACAGCTGTGTGACATGACCAGATTTGCATTTTTAAAGATCACTTGGGTTGTGGTATAAATAGAGGATTGAGAGAGTAAGATGCAGCCGTTGGAAGTGGCGGACTAGTTACACGCACTGAAATGTGACAATGCTCCAAAAAACAAAATACTGAATGAAAAAGAAAAGAGAATGTGCTCCAAAGCACAATGCCTTTATTTAATGATAGCTTGATGAAAACACATAAAAAAAAAAAGAGTATATATTACATCTCTTAAAATGATTGCTCTTGAAAGGCTTAATAGGGATGACAATGGGGGTAAAAAAAAAAATAACTGAATAAAACAAGAGAGCACTTATGAATGGACCAGCAACAATAATAGGCTTTGCATTAATGAACATGATAAATTAATAAGGGCCCTAGGATTTTTAGAATGGCAAATGAGCATTGGCTTCAACTTAATGTCACCAGCTGCATTAGCCTGTAAAAAAAGAGTCAGGCTATCTTTTGAAGTTTTGGAGCCAGACATTGGCTTCTCCTCTCAAGCTATGAAATTCCTAGATTGCATCTGCTTCCAATGGAAGGCTGTTTCATCTACATTGAAAATCTGTTGTTTAGTGTAGCCACCTTTATCAATTACCTTAGAGGAGTCTTCTGGATAATTTGCTGCAGTTTCTACATCAGCACTGGCCACTTTACCTTATACTTTTAGGTTATGGAAATAGCTTTTTTTCCCTAAAACCCCATGAACCAATCTTAGCTAACTTCACACTTTTCTTCTGCAGTTTTCCCACCTCTCTTAGCCTTCATGGAATTGAAGAGAGTTAGGGCCTTGCTCTGGATTAGGTTTTGGTTTAAGAGAATGTGTTGGCTGTTTTATTCTTCTATTCAAACCACTAAAACTGTTTCCATATCAACAATAAAGCTGCTTCCCCTTTTCAATTATCGTGTGTTCACTGGAGCAGCACTTTTAATTTCATTCAAGAACTTTTCCTTTGCATCCACAACTTGACTAACTGGCACAAAAGTCCTAGCTTTCAGGCTTCAGGTTTCAACATACCTTCCTTGCTAAGCTTAATCATCTCTAGCTTTTGATTTAAAGTGGGAGACGTGCAACTTTTTCTTTCACTTGAACACTTAGTGGCCATTTTAGGGTTATTACTTGGCCTGATTTCAATATTGTTGTGTTGGGCCTGAGAAGAGGGAGCAGGATGTGGGAACAGCCAGTAAGTGAAGAAGTCAGAACACATACAGCATTTATCAATTAAGCTTATCATCTTATATGGGCACAATCCATTGGTGCCCCAAAAGAATTACAATAGTAACATCAAATTTCACTGATTGCAGTTCCTCATAAGAGATATAACAATTTAAAAGTTTGAAATATGGTGAAAATTACCAAAATGTAACACAAACACATGAAGTAAGCACATGCTGTTGGAAAAATGGCACCAATAGTGTTGTTGGATGCAGCATTACCATAAAGTTTCAATTTGTAAATAACAAAATATTTGTGAGGCACAATAAAGCAAAGCACAATAAAAATGAGGTGTGCCTGTATTTTAAAATAACAGATTGAATGGGGAAAGAATAGTTGAGGAACTGGAAGCAGAGAGAACAGGTACAAGATTCAAGTAGTAGTCCAGGAAAACCAAAGCAAGTAGAAAAACTAACAGAAGTCCAGGATAAAACATATTGAGGACTTAATTACATATTTCCAGAAGGAATGAAAAAAAGGTCAGAAGTGATAATGTGGAAATATCCGCAGCTGACTTGGCTATAAATAGAAAGTGTAGGCATTTAAAAAAATAGACGAAGCTGAAGAACTCACAGAATGATGAATAATCAAGTAAATTGTAGTCTTCTTATCAAAAAGAAAAATAAAGACATGTAGATAGAAATTTAATTTGTATGTTTTTACTCTGTAAACCTAGGAGGTATTTACAAAGTATGTAAGAAAAATTTAAGATTGGAGTTAATGAACCAGAGATAGGCAAGAGAGACATAATAGGTAATATAGGTTAGCTGGTAAGATCTTTGGAACACAGAAAATTTGGATTTAAGTTAGTAATAATAATTATGCATTGCACATTATAGCCTTTATGCTTTTTAATCAGTTCTTCCACTTAATAGGCAAATATTCTTTTAACATCTATTAAGTATAGGAAAATACTAGCAATGGGAGATATAGCAATAAGTAATAAAGTTACTTAAGTAAGTGTAAAGTTAATAAAACAGTTCCTAATCTAGTTACTCTTCTACTGTGAGATTTTCACATTCAAAATGTACTGAGCGCCTATTGGGTACAAAGGACTTGGATGAACAAATGAATGTGATATGTCTCTTGCTGTGTTGTTGGAACAAGTTAAGAGTCAGCAAACAAAGTATATTTATATATATTATAGTATCTCCTGTAATCCTGCTCACACCATGTGAGGATCAAGTAAATATTTAAAGATGTCTTTCTTAAGGATATTCTGAGCAAGATGAGAGAAAGGGTAATATGATAGCCCCACCAGTCATTTTATTCCTCTTTCTAATTTCACTGTTTTGTTGAAAGTAAGTGTTTTTTGGTTAAAATAGTTTTATTTTTTATTTAGTTCTAGGCAAAAGAACAGTACTATTCCTTGAAAACATTTATTCTTTAGGGATATGAAGTGGTGTTTGCCCAACAAAATACACAATTTCTAAAACATTATGACTAACTCAAGCAAATGTATTCTCTAAAGAAAAGTCTCTATTTCACTTTGTGTACATAGAGGCAGATTTAATAAACAAGTTAAAACAAAAGTCTTCTGTCAGTATTATTCCTCAGCACTGTTATAAAGAGTGGCAAACATTTCTTTCTTTGACAAAAGAGACATTTTCCCCCGTTCCCCCAAGACACCAATGAATATAAATGTACAAGTAAAATATTTTCACTTAGATTCACAGAATGTTTGACACTAATATACTCTGGAGCATTTAAATTTTTCCTGAACTTAAAACTGCCAGTTTTTAAAATGTTAAGTATTATTTACCAAATTAAGTGAGAATAATAATTTATTTTGCATAGCTAGCATTGTGCCCGCTAAGAAAAGAGGCTTTTTATTTTCTGTTTAGTTATCGTCTTCTTCCTCTCCATCAGTGTTAGTGGCTTATCAAAAACAAGTCAAGGACAACCTGCTTTGGTATCTATACAAATAGGATTCAATTATCCCCAATGAGTTTGCAAAACTTGCAGAAGTCATTAATTTGAAAAACATGAAGATTAATGCAGGGAATTTAGAACCTATGTCAAAGACGTTTTAAAAGTACTCTCATTTAAACTTTGATTTTTTGCACACAGAAAATGTGTGCTAATGTCCAGCTAATTTTAA